ATCTTATCGTTGAATCCAATCATTGCATCCATTTATTGATCACTCGTTACACTTAACCACCAAATCATCGCTTTATTAATTATATTGTCTTTTACTCCCATTTCCTATAGTTTTCAACAAAACTTGTGTTTCTAATACTATACAAATCAGTGCTGAAATCAATTGTCTTATCATCACTTAAATGGCGATTAGTTTTTGATTAAAATCCTAAACCTAAGTGTCTTTGTATCCAATCATTGTTTGTTTTTTTCTGTGAAACAATTGAGTGATTAAATGAAGTGATAATAAAATGAAGAACAGAAGGGCTAAAGTTGTCTATTCATATGCACCACAAAATGATGACGAACTCAAACTAGAAGTCGATGAAGTGATTGAGGTGTTGGATGAGATTGAAGATGGTATGTATCATCGATCGCACCATTCATTGAACTTTCACTAACTATTGTCTTTGAATTGTCACTGAAAGGCTGGTGGAAAGGCATATCTCCCAAAGGCATTACAGGTGTCTTTCCATCTAATTTCGTGGTCGAAGTGACCGCCGATTCTCCGAAAATCAGCAAAAAGACGGACAACGATAAGAGTGACAACGAGTCGATCGACGGCTCGAAGTCGTCGCTCAATCGAGACGACAGCCTCGAGAAGAAGCCCAAACCGATCAACAAAATAGGTTTCGGCGATATCTTCGCGGGCGGTATTAAACCGAAACTGACGCCAATCGGCGACACGTCGTTAGAGCGCAACAAAAATCTGCCAAAAAAACCTCCGCCACAACCGCCCGCCCCGGAGCCTGAGGTGGCGCCCAAACTGCCGCCCAAACCCGTCAGAGAACAGGCGCTGGTGTTGTACTCATACGTCGCGCAGAACGAGGACGAGTTGTCCATCAAAGAGGGAGAGATTATAAACCTGGTGTCGAAAGACATCGAAGACGTCGGCTGGTGGAAGGGTGAGCTGAACGGCCGCATCGCCCTCTTCCCCGACAACTTCGTCGAAATCATCAAAACGACGGACGAGTCGAGCGCGAAGCCGAGCCCCAAAAAGCCTGGTCGACCGGCCGAGAAGCCCCCGCCGCCCGTCGCCGCCTCCACGGCCGTGAATATAGCGAACCACTCGAAGACCGAATCGAACAAGACTTCCAACAAACCGGCGGAAGAGTTGCCAAAATCGACGACCGGTTCCAATGTCACTGCCGCCGCTGCGCCGGTCATACCCGTAAAAAAGCCAAAAGTATTAAATTCGTCAATATTTCAGTCGAAGCCAAAAGCCGAACCGACACCACAAACGCCCCCACCTTCTCGTGTTAAGCCGGATGTCGTCCCCCAAGAAAACGGCTCGAAATCGGACGCCGATGTGAGCGTTAATAACAAGTCTATTGTGACCGCAAATAACAGTTCAGAAAACAATTTCGTCGACTCCACCACTAATAAGTTGACTCATTTGACGGCCAACCGACCGAAGGGGCCGTCGTCTCGTCGGCCGCCCTCTACGATATTCATACCGAAAGACTCGGGCAATGAGTCTAAAGAAAATGGTGACATATCCATGGTCTCCAACAAGAGTGAGACCAACACTAGCCATACGAACGATCACATAAAGCCATCAGCGCTGTCGCAAACGCCACCCGTCAAGGAGGTGGTCGAGAAGCTGCCCCCTTGGATGCTAGAGCTGCGTAAGGCTCAGGAGAAGCGCAAAGAGAATCCGGACGACTCGCCAAAAGGACTCAATTCGCCGACAAAGTCCACTCCCAATAGGTTTTCCGGCGATTTCACGAGTAAATTGTTGCAGAACTCAACTTCAACTCCAGACGAGAACGACTCCACTTCAACGCCACCGCTGTTTAAGCCATTAAAGTCGACAAAACCGAGCATCGCGTCCAACGCAGTAACGTCTGTTACGCCGACGGCACCCGAAACGCCGAGTCCTGTCTCGGAGTCGCCCCGACATTCACTACTGTCGTCGTCCAGTGCGACGACGGCCCCGACATCGACATCGACGCCGAACAAAACTAATATAGTCATCAACTCGTCGATCGCTTCATCGACAGCCACAACCACCACACCAACACCGCCTAAAGTCGAGGACAGTGTCAGTAACTCGACGACCGATAAAAGATGTGCCGAATTGGAGAGACAGTTGCGAGAGCTTAAAGAATCGACGGTTAGTCGAAAGGACTTCGACGAGCTCTCCAAACAGGTATTTGTCTTATAATTTCATATTTGTTTAGCTATTTATACACCATTTATATGTATTTATCGCCAAAACTTCACGTCATATTTGAAACGCTTGTCATTCAAAGCGATTGATAAACCGATTGTTAAATATAGTTTGTGTCTATTGTTTGTTCGCTTAATTTAAACGCTTTTGCTCTCTAAATGTCTCTCAAAACGAGAAACTAATTGCCTTTATATTAAGTGTAACACAAAAGCCGTGCATTTGTTTGTAGAGTAGAGCGCAATGATAGCCAAAGACATTGTAAAAACACTTCTCTTAAACTCGATCTATAGGTGACTGAACTGCGAGAGGCGTTCGACACACAGAAACAGACTTACAGTAAAACGATTAGAGATCTCATTAACGATGTGGCGGACGAACAGAAAAAGGTGGCCACTCTTCAGATAGAGATCGACAGACTCCGGAAGCTGACCACAACTGTATGACCGATGGGGTGCACACCCGGTGGACACCACGCAGTCTTCTTCACACTCTAAACCGCACACCAAATGTCTTAACGTTTTGATCCTTGTATTCGTTTGTCTCCCGAAGTCTCTTCGAAAAAGTCTTCAACTGTTTGTTAATGTTTTTTCCGAATCATGTTTTTATTCGTTACTAATTCTTAATGTTTTAATTATTTTTATTTAATTAATATTTACTCAAAACTCCCTGTCGTGTGTTTAAACTGTTTTGTTTGTTTGGGACAATTTCGTGTGAAGTCTATATTTATTTTTGCGATTTATTTCCAAGTTTATTACTATTTTTCATAACTTTTCAAAACTTCATTATATTTGCGAGCATTCCATAAGAATATAAAAAAGATTATATTTTTAAATATAAATTTATTTATCGAATTAACGCAGAAATTAATTATATAATTGCCTTCAAAATACAGCCCTATTTTAAGAATGAGTTTTATTTTATTTTCTAATTTCAAAGTCGATAAACAGTTTATTTTTTCGAAAAATTCCAATAAATGTAATATAAAATTAATTTTTCGCTTAAAATATATGACAACAAAAGAAATTAATTAATCGTGACTTGAATTTGATGTGAGATATAAGGCATAAAACCCGTATGAGAATCAGTATTAGTATTGTATTTCTTATTGAATGTGAAAATCTGAGGTCTTTTGAAATGAATAGAAATGCGAACAATATTTTTGTGTTGTTTTCTTACGGAGAAAAATGTATACAAAAAGAAATCATAAATACAATGAATTCCGTTCAGAAAATAAACCGCTAGTAATATAAGAGTAATAAAACTAAATATAAAGCAATTGATTGTAATATTATTTTTTTGGGCGCACTTTCAGTGATGTTATTAAAGAAATTAGAGAAAATATTAAGTTATATAACACGATATCAAATTGAAATTACGATAAAAGGTTTCCCTAATGAATGGAAATCTTTGATATCTGTATTTCATTTTATTCATGAATAATTGTATCAATTATTTGCCATAAAATTATAGAGAAATATGTGAAAAACATACGCAAAAATGAAATCGTTTTTCTACAGAGGCGTTAACATTTATTTTATTAATAATGTTGATATCAAATGGTCATAATTTTTGTGTTGATTTTAAATTTATTTTTATTATTCACAATATATATAAGTCTAAGGTTTGAATTTTTATTTTTAAAATAAAAAATAATTTAATTCCAAATACGTTTGTAAAACAATTAGTTAATTGTATTTTTATTTTTTGCTAATTATATATAAATTCAAAGTAATTTAATATCAAAAAACAATAAATATTTTTAAACATTTCATTGTATTTAAACTTATTTCTCTATATTATGATTACAATCTCAAAAACTTTTCTAAAACTTTTCCAAAAACTTATCGCAATTATATGATGATAATTATGGTAAATATCGAACTAATCCTATATTAAACTAATTTACTTAAAAATATAAGACTACAAGTGATTAGATACAGATACCAGTGCACCTATACCCCACACTCACAGCTCGCACATACACTCGACAATAGTTTCTCATTAGTGTTACACTTATTTACATAATTATAATTGAATTTTAAACTCGAATACATGTATAAAAAGGCTTTTTCTATCTTAAGTTGTAGTTTATTTTTAGTCTCAGATCAGTGAACACTAGAGAAACGAGTTTTTATCGTTAAAAAAGGCCTTTTTCTCTTTGAATCCTTGTTCCGTACGATTTGGTTGTGATATTGTATGCGTCGACAAACCGATCCACACATAAGTTCAGACATTTCTATAATGAAAGACAAAATCAATTCATGAATAAAACAACAAAAAACTCATTTTTCTCTCCTATTCGCCGCGGAATTAGTGCATAAAATACTTGTCAATAGTTATGCGGTTTTGTATACACTGTTGGATAAGTCTCATCACTTTTTCATACTATTGTAAATCACAAGAATATAATGCGATAAAAACAGGACTTAAAAACTATAAATATGGGAAACAATTATAATCTAATCTACTATTTCCTTGCCGAAGTGCGATCGTAAATAATTTATACATTTTTCCCTATGAAAACTCTGTGGAGAAATACATTATGTATTTTAATACCCGGTATCAGACTTATATCGAGAGATTATCTATTGATTCAATCATATAAAACAAAACAGGTATGAAATACTCATGAATACATTAAATGGGATCAAATCTTGCCAGTATATAATAGTAAAAATAAAATGATTAATAGAGCTAGAAATCAAACTGTTATATAAATATGTGGCAATAAGTTATATCAGTATTAAAAATGAATAATAACTCAGATATTCATTCAAATGAATTAATTCTTTAATTAATGAAACCATTAATAATCCAAAGGATTTAATAAAAGCAAAAATAAAAATAATAACTTCTAATAAATCAATAAATCATTCAATCCTTTCTAATAGTTAATTAATAAAAAACCTAAAACTACACTAAATACTCATTTACAGCAAACATACAGTAAATGTCATACAAGTTAATAATATTTATAAACATTGGAGTTATAGCTAGTATTAAATTTCTACACACAAACTGATTCTTGTAATTAAAAACCTAATTAACATAATAAATAATAAAAGCATAATTAAAGCCAAAAAAAGTTAATACCAAAAATGTATAAAAACAAATTAAAAGCAAATGATATAAGATTATAATAAAAAATAAAAGTTATATTCAGTGAAAACAATGGCTATTAAAACTACCAAAAACTTCATACAAAACATGTATAGAGAAAAGTTTGTCCCTTTTTGAAAAAGACTTTTAATACTCGTATTTAGTTCACAACTAATTATATTTTAATCGTTATCTTCATATTTTAATACAATTTAACTCTTTATACATATATTGAAAGCAGTTTTGTTTTAAATCAATAGCTA